GCTTGTTTGCCTACAAGCCTGCTCACATAGCCATCTCAGTGGTCCAGTTTTGAGCAAAAAAACCAACATGCTGTTCTTGTCCCACATAGCTTTTTATATTGAAGAGTAGGGGATCATACTAAGTACATGTGAGTTGTGTGGGTAAGTTGCAGGAAACCATTGAGTGTAAGGGAATGTATATATTGAGAGAGTGGTGACAGTGTTATAAAGTAATTTTATTAATGTTTCTTACTCATACATAGACGTTTTATTTGCTAACTTGGGTACCACTATTTTTAATGGGGGTGTGTGTGGAGGGTGTTGGAAAGTGAATGAAACTAATTGATTATATTTTCATTTTTAGTTCATAAGTTATTTCATAAATTGATGTTCTATTTCAGTATTTGTGTCCAAATAAATAGAGGTAATGGAGAAATGTACATTAGCTTTGATTATCTTGATCACAGTTTAATAACGCATGAGAATGAGAGATCTTATTGCTGTCAAGTCAGCCTCCTGATAGTGACACCAAAGGACAGAGCAAACTGCTCAGCAGGTTTCCATTGTTCTGTATTCCATATAACGACACAGACTGCCATTGCTTTCACCTGCAGAGTGGCTGGTTGCTTCAAATCACTGACCTTTTGATTACCAACCTAGCGCTGTAATGACTGAACCCACCAGGCTTCTGTTACGGGTAGGGGAGAACAAAGAAGGCACGGATTGTGTACATATTGCCACTTTGTAAGGAACATGTCTATTCTAGTACTGTAGAAATATATTTAAATATTTGCTCCTAAACAGTGCTTCATATTGCTGCCCTAACTTGATTAGTGTGAAATTCCAAAGTCCTTGCTTTATTGAGCTATCTAGGTATATAGACATACTGAAGTATACAATTCCACATAAAGTGTCTTAAGATAAAAAATAGCCTTTAAAAAATCAATATCACTTGATGTAATGTGGACTACTAACTTTAGGAAAAATCATGACGTAGATAATATAATTATGTATACCTACTTTTTTCTATCTGTATACCTTTTCTAGGGGCTTATAAAATAACTCTCATTCTTTACCAAAATTGAAGTACAGGCAATCCTTGGAATATGAATAAGTTCAGTTCCTAACTCTTGTGTTTAAGTTGAATTGTAAATGAGTTAGAACCAGGACAAATATAGTCCTTATATATTCTTTAGTGAGATAAAAAGCACAAAGGTTTTCCAGTGATTTAAAAGCTGCATGTGCAATACGTGCAGGTGATGAAGAATTTGTTGCAAATAGGGCTTGGCTCAATCATTTCAAAGGGCAAATTCACATAACATTAAAGGGCAAGTGGCAGTTGTCCATAAGTCAGACATCTGTAACCTGGGGACTCCCTGCCCTTCTTAAATATATCCATATTAAGTTTGTAAAGTACTGCTCTTACCAGGTATATTATCATTAGGAAAGATCATTACAGAGAGGGTGCTTGACCAAAAAGAATGAATCACCAATTATAGATTTTTGAGTGAGTTTTTAATGGGAAAGGAGAGAGGAAGTGGAGAGGGATGTACTGTACCTGTCTTTCCTATTCTGCCTCTGATGAAATAGTGCTGCAGTCTTGCAAGGTCTATATTTCAAAACCACCAGCCACTCCTTGGGAGCAAGACAAGGCTTTTTTTTCTCTTAATTTTAATAAATAATTTTTTTAACTGAATTATATACCCTTTTAAAAAATCGTTTTATTAGGGGCTCATACAACTCTTAGCACAATCCATACATACATCAATTGTGTAAAGCACATTTGTACATTCATCGCCCTCATCATTCTCAAAACATTCACTCTCCACTTAAGCCCCTGACATCAGCTCCTCATTTTTTCCCCTCCTTCCCCACTCCCCCCCTCCCTCATGGACCCTGGATAATTTATAAATTATTATTTTGTCATGTCTTGCCCTGTTCGACATCGCCCTTCACCCACTTTTCTGTTGTCCGTTCCCCGGCGAGGTGGTCACATGTAGATCCTTGTAATCGGTTTTCCCTTTCCAACTCACCCTCCCTCTACCCTCCCAGAATCGCCACTCACACATGAATGGCGATCCTGAAGGGATCATCTGTCCTGAATTCCCTGTGTTTCCAGTTCCTATCTTACCAGTGTACATCCTCTGGTCTAGCCAGATTTGCAAGATAGTGTCTGGATCATGATAGTGGGGGCTGGGGCAGGGGAAGCATTTAGGAACTAGAAGAAAGCTGTATTTTTCATCGTTGCTACATCGCACCCTGACTGGCTCATCTCCCCGAGACCCCTCTGCAAGAGGATCTCCAGTGGCCTACAAATGGGC